CCTCCGTCCCCGGGCCCGTCCCTCCGTCCCCGGGCCCGTCCCTCCGTCCCCGGGCCCGTCCCTCCGTCCCCGGGCCCGTCCCTCCGTCCCCGGGCCCGTCCCTCCGTCCCCGGGCCCGCCCTTCGCCGTGGCGGCGGCGGGCGGGGCCCCGCGCAGGCGTGGAGTGGGTCCCCGTTCTCGCGAGGCGCTGGGGCCGGCGCGGAGGCGCGGGCTGGGCTGTGCCGGCAGGGCTGAGGTGAGGAGGAGAAGGAGCTGGAGGAGGATGAGGATGCGGCGATGGTGGAGGCGGCGGCAGCTCTGGGGGCCGCGGCGGCGGGAGGCGGGCGCTGCGGGCGGGCCGCGCTGCAGGCGGGCCTGACCTGACCTTGGGGGTCGGTCACGGAGTGTGGCGGGTTACGGGAGGCGCGGCTGCCCCGCACGGGCGTGTGGCACGGGCGTGTGACACGGGCAGAGCCCCCCACGCCAGTGGCCGCGAGGAGGGACTTGGGAGGGAGCTAGAGGTCGGCCCTGGTAGACCCTTGGGGTTTTATTTGGGCTGGAAGGTTATTACTTAAACCGATTTCGTAATTATTTTTTTCATTTGTGATGCAGCACTGTATCTGCGCTTGCGTTCCCCCTTATAAATAAGGTGTACTTTTGTATTACGAGTTTTTGCTTCTTTTTTCTTTAGGAATTTGATGTAAGAAGGCCCGGTGTGTGGGAGCCATGGGTTTGTCTGCATCCTCCCCGGCTGCTGCAGGTCAGTCGCCAGATGCATCCAGGCAGTACCAGACGGCGTCTCCACCTTCAGAATGTCCCATGCATCAGGAAAAAATGAGCGGTAATCATTCTTGAACTTAAATGAACTAAACTCCTTATGTGGAAACCAGATGAAAAATCTTAGGGAGGAAAAAGAAATTATTCTTCAAATAAAAACTTGAGTTTTTCCTTTAGGAAAAGTTGCTCTTAAGTAACTTTTCATGAATGGGAGGCAGTTGTTCGCCAGAACAGGTGCTGTGTCTGTAGAGACAGGAGGTGGTTGTTGTAGAACCTGTGGGTCATTCCCAATTGTCCCATTTCACAGGAGTCCTGCAGATCTGTTCCTGTGGTGTGGTACACCCACAAAACGTTAGGGAGCCCCTGCAGAAATGGCAACTGGGAGCAGGTGGGTGTCACTAAAAAACATGCATCTAGAAAAGGGCAGTGGAAAGGTGGAATCAGATGAATGTCTGGAGGAGGACATTTACTTTTCTGGTGACACAGTCAACACATTTTGGATTAACATTGCTGAGGAAATCTTAGGTACTGACAATTCAGTATAGGGCCAGCATGGGGTAGGAAATGAGCATTCAAGGACACACAGGAAGCTCAGATCTTACCATGGTGTTTGGTCCCAAAATGCAGGAAAAAGAAAAGTTAAAACTGTTGCAAAGCTCAGAAGAAAAAGTGAA